CAAAATTGAATGGAAGTTGATTTCTAATTACCTAGGAGAAGAAGTTAACTTTGATAGACAATTTCATAATAATGGTTTATGGTTATAAGATCAAATTATTTTAAGATAGATGTGGAAATCTTGATGGATGTCCTTTCAATTATTTTTTTCTTCTATTGCTGATTTTATTCATAATGGAAGCATTCTCGCCAATGTGTTTGGTTTGGCTGTATTCTTGTTTACCAATATGCCACTTGCAAGAATTTGGATTTTCAATTTTATTTTTGCCCATTCTAGATTCCACTTATAGTTTATACAAATCCAACAACAAATCAGAAACCTCGTGTAAATTAGTCAAAACCACATCGCCACAAGGAATTTGCTTATTCAATGACAGATAAACACATATTTGCCATTCGGCTATAAGTGCCAGATTGCCCAAAAATAAGGAATTCCATCGCCGATGCATCTAAAGTAATCTATCTTAAGAAAAAAACATTACATCAGTTAAAAAATTAATTTTGGACCTTCTGGGGTATAGAAACTGAAGGACTTTGAAATGTTCAGGTTTAAAGTTGTGAAATTTTAGAGGAATAATTGTTATGACTATTGGTATTTTCTTAATAGGAGAATTGATAGAATTAAACTCCATTATAAAAAATTTTGCTATCGCATTTGACGTTATATGGTGTTGAGATTTCGGATTATGCCACCCCTTCGACAACAGTGACGCTGACGGACTCGGTTAGAATGCCTCCAAATGAGGCAGAATCTATATTTTTTTTAATGGCGGTAAATTATTGATTATTCTAACCAACTTTTTACAATTACAGACCGATGGATTTGGTCATCCCAAATGTTTTAATTCGAGCGTTCAACTAGGTAAATAGGCTTCAAAAAACCTGAATATAGCTGAAAATGAACAAGAATAACAGAATTAAAATTTAGAAACGAAATATTGTTTACTAAAATTAAGCTAAATGTTACCGTTAAATGATAACTAGAAAACAGTTTGCCAGTTGTGAATTAATTGATGGGAAAGATTTCTAACTAGAAATAGTTTTCTTAGATGTGAATTAGTGAAGGCAAAGATTCTTAACTGTTTTAATGAAATTATTAGTTGAATGTTTTTCAAACTCTTTATTTAATTAAAAAATCATTTAATTTCAATTTGATTATTGTTGTACCAATCAATGATATAATATAACATTAGACTTGTTGAAATTGAAAATTTATTAATTACTCTACATTTTCACGAATTTAAAATATTTTATTAACTTTTTGAAAGAATCCTGCAATTAAGGTTTTTTCCCTTGGAAAAATATTCATCGAATTCTGATTTCTGCCCTGGGTTGCACCGTACCAATATAATTTTATAGATCACTGTCTTATATTGATAACTTAAAAAAACATACAGTGTCACGAATTCGTAAAAGATTGTTCTTGCAGGTCGCTATCACCAAATAATAACTTGTTAATTTTTTCAAGAACGGAATGACTTCAGTCTAAACCCACCTCAGTTGACCACGCCCGCCGTACGAATATTTCACCTCTACCAATGGCCTTCAGACCCAATAAGATACTACATGTTCTTACTCAACGGCGTCCCCAGTAATATAGCAGAAAGCACCTCAAAATCAAAAAAAAAAAAATAAAAAAGGTTTAACCCCAAACTCCATTTTATCGCGGCTGCTCTTTCGCCGATCCTCTTCGTTGAGGTTCGCAATTGCAGATACTCTTTGATCTCTCTCTTTCCCCTTTGGGAGCTTCTCTATGTCGCTCAAATAAAAGCTTGCATTAAATCACCATTTACATATTAGCAGTAGGGTTTATGGATTAAGATTCTGTAATTGGATTTTTTCTACTTATTCTCAATAGGAAGTTCGCGGGCAGCGATCTCTCGTTGACAACCATTTGGTGGCTTTACGGAAACCCAGACTGGCGTGAAAACTGCCAAACGTATCCGTGCCTACAGTGCGATTTTGGGCTGGCCTGTTCCATCGGCAATATGTGGTCTGCTTTCTCAGAGTCCGCGATGGCATAAATGCGCCACCTATCGGGCCCATTCAGTGGTTTTTTTTGCCTCAATTTAACGTTGTCTCCTCCCCCAAATTACACTTACACATATATTAACCATATGTGCTGTCTATCTAAACTTGATTGAACTGCTTCCTACCTCCTTACCATGTCGCATGTCTAGGACGATTATATTATGTGCATGTGATATATGGAGGAACACTATTCAGTCACCAAAAAGTTGAAATAGTGGAATAAAATTTTATTTTTGGAAAAGTTCTGATAAGAAATAAACGGTTCGTGAAAACAGAAAAAAGAAAGGACCATTAAAAGTGTCATTCTAGAGCTTAGATGAGCAACTGGACTCTTCTTGGATTCTTAACTTATTGTGTTCAAACTATGTTCGTCCACAACGGCAGGCCAATTCCAGAAATCAATTCTTCAATAGCTACTATGCGTAATCGTGCTTCCTTCTTACAGCGCTAGACTAATGCACTAATCTACTAGATTAGGCTTTCACACCATGTGAGCAACTCATCGAAATGGGTTCGACTTAGATCTTCCGCTTACGGTGTACACTACTCAATATGATGCCAATCTTATTACTTAGGCTTCCTTTGATCGGGCGGTACGGTTTTAGGGCAATAAATCTCGCTGTCATCTCATATTCTTTTCCCTTGCATGAGGCTTAAATATGTGCCAATCATGTACCGTGAGTAACGGCTTGAATACATTCTCTCCCTCCTATTACTTCATAGAAGGTTCGAGAAAACTGTTGCTTCCCTGTGCTATACTCATGCACCACTTTCTCTGACTTCGACTTTCAAGCTCCGTCTTTTGCTCTTCCGGACCCATTTCTTCAGGCCGGAGTTACAAACAGACCACAATGGCCCTATATCCAAAAATCAAATTCTCAAGCTTTCCTCAATTTTTTTTTGTCCCAAAAAAAGTACCCGAATGTTACCCTTATTAACTAAACGCAGCGGTCACCATGATACCCCCGCTACTCCTGGCCTCTCCCGAGAGTCACCTGACTGTCCCTCCCACTTGGCTTCCGTGAGAGCAAAAACCCAGGGACACTAGCGGGAAAGAACAATGACAATTGATTTTGTCATTCCTTCACTCCGCTAACTGGTGGTTGAACATTGTAAATTTGAGAATAATGATTCTCCAATCAAACCTATATTTGTGAAGCAGACGTTTTAGTGATGTGAGATTACAAGCTGTGAAATTCCATTAACATCCACACACCTAGCCCATCAAACGGATAGTTGTTGTTCTCAAAGCCGTTGAACGAATTGCAGGTTTCAAACTGCCAACAAAAATACTTTATGATTTCACAGCTTTGTGTAAAGGTTTAGCAATGATCTGGATTCCGGGCATTTACCGGGGTTTCATTTGGGCGAAAAAATCAAACATGGTTTTATGGCATTCCACCTGAATTTATGTATAATTCTTATTGGTTGATATACTAGCGGCGGCGCAAGAAATTCAACCTTCATGTGGGAATTTATCAAGGTAAATGGTAAGAATTAGCAAGGGTTATCGTTTCATTGTTTACCGATGAGTAAGGTGATGAGGCGGGCTAGCTAGCGCTTGGCAAATATGAAGGATTGCTGTTGATGCATTTAGAGGGATTTGAGAAATATTGGTGTAGAGGTAAAGCATTTAAAAGGCGTTTGAATTATCAGTAAGTGGACACATTGGTTTAAGGAGGGGCATGCATAGCGTTTGAATATGCTTATAGTGTTGTTTATGGAGTTTAAGGGGATTGGTATCACCTGCTGGAATTTAAGTAGTTTCAAAATACCTTTCTGATACATGGATATTGCCAAAGCAAGGAAATTACTGAGGATGCGGAAAGAGGACTATGAATGGAAATGGAGACAACATGGATTTCACCCCTAATGTTAGTTTTCATACACTTGCCTTCATTGAGTCTATACTGTTTATGATTTGAAGTACTTCTGCGAATATGGTCAAGGCAACTTTAGATGCAGATGCAAGCACAAAGGGTTCGCAAGCCTAAATGTAAATTCACTCCTATACCATTGTTCATGTCTTGCTTTAGGGGAAAGCAAATCAAATAAAATGAAGCCATTGGAGTTCTAGATGATAATTGAAAAGAAATGGGTTGTGTGCGGCGGATTTCTTCAGCTATAGCTCTTTGATTTTTTATTTCTTGGAGTCAATTCCTGGAAGGCCTCAAGGATGCTTTGAATGTGTTTTGAGATATGAAAAATAACAAGGGAGTCAGTCGAATTTGTGAACCTATAATACATTGTATCTATGCTGCTTGTTACCCCATTTGGAAGAAGAGAATGCCATAAAATTTGCTGCAAAGAATGGAAGAGGATTCGTGCCAAACCAGATATAAAGGACACTTTATGCCACCATTATTTGAAGATGTGCCTGCAGGAAAGAAGGAGACATGAAGTGCTCAAGTTTTTGTTTTGAGCCCACATGTTTTTAAGAACAATGTTAGCATTGAAGCTTTATTACATATACTCTTTTGCGTGCGTGCTTTGCGAAGAGATGGGACAGGCTTTGATTATGCTTGCTCGAGGTCTTATGACAGAACACAGTACTGAAGGGGGATGGTTTGCTAAATATGGAACACATACAAGTATGGTTGCGTGCAGGAACTTGAACAAGAAACATTGATAGAACGCCAAGGAAAAGATTTGAGAAGTTGATGTTTCAAGCTGAAGAACCACAGCTTTAGGGCCTAGTTGCTTTTATAAATCTAGCCTTAAGGTCCCTGTTCAGCCAAGGTTTTTGCTATTCTTACCTAGTGTGCTTCTCCCATTTTTTTTGGTTATTTCCTAATACGATTCTTTTTTGTGCTTCCATTTAGATTCTTCTCGCACTTTTGAATTGAGGATAAACTGTTACTGGATTTATGGTTATCGCTTTGTTAGCTGAGTTTTATGTTACTTGCAACTCTTTTTAACTTTTTTCTAGTTGAAGTTAAACTGTTTAGCAGGCCAATTGGGCCCGCTTATCTAGTACACGCTAACGGTTGCGTGTAGAATGAAGGTTGGATGGTTTGTTTAGTTGGTGTTTCATAATATGTTGAGAGGAATACAGCCAGTGGCAATGCTACTGTGAAGATTAGTTGGTGTTCATAATATGTTGAGAGAATACAGCAGTGGCAATGCTACTGTGAAGATTGATTTTACGGACTTGAGGTAAGAAATCATTTTCTTGCAGATTCTGTTTGTTTTTTCACTGGACATGCAATTGCTTTTGTGATATTAGAAATTTAAGCATCCATGTAAGATATGTTACACCTTCCCATTCTGTTTGTTTGGCATGAATTTTCTAAATAGAAGTGTCCTTCTGTAGTTTTGTTCATTATATATTTGCAGTAATCTATGCATTATTTCGATAGGATTTTAAAGAATGAAGCTAGGTTCTAGTTTAATTTGGAAGCTATGTATATGAGAAATTATGAATTCCCAACTGTGGACTTGGGATTTGTAGAACGAGATGCTTTAATTTCATGCTTAGTTGAATTAAGAAAAAGAAAATTTGTGGGTGTTCCTGTGAGTTTGCTCATTCAAATGGCTGGAAGATAATCTAAATTATTAGCTCTTCCGCAACATTTATTTTTGGATTCTTAAATTTTAATTTTTATCTTCAGTTGTGGCTTGGAGTACCATCACTCTGTAGTAGATCTTATTTTGAAGCGTTTCTTTGTCTACTTGATTAATTTGGTTATGCTACTTGTGATAACTGCATGTGTTATTACAACTATATGTCAATCAAGAAACATTTTTTTTTTTTTTTTACAATATTCATTCTTCTAATTATCATCCTATTAACCAATGTTTTGTTCAATGCAGCTGTCCCCATTCATGGTACCCAAAAGCTTGGAGGAAGCATAGCAAGGTTTATCTGCATGTGGGACCCACAAATAGTGGTAAAACTTATCAAGCCCTAAAGCCGCTGTAGTCAAGCCCTTATGGTGTGCTATTACTACCTTTACAAAGATTTTTTTATTAATGTTGTCATCTAAATTACTTGTTCAAGAGTAAGACAGGAGTGCATAAGGCAAGGGTGAAAAATATATTTGCATTGGCTTTGTCACTTGGTAGGTATATATTGTGGTCCTTTGAGGTTGCTGGCATGGGAGGTGGCAAACAGGCTGAACAAGATAAACGTTCCTTGTGACCTAATAATGGGGCAGGAAAGAGAGGAAGTTGAGGGTGCAAAACACAAGGCCGTGACAGTTGAAATGGCTGATGTAAACTCCGATCATAGTTGTGCTGTTGTTGACGAAATTCAGGGACATTGATATGGACTATATGAAAGATTTACTTCAGGGATATCTTCCCAAACAATTGTAAGACTTATGATCAGTTGCAATGTAAAGTTGCAGAAAATAAAATGAAATACACATTTTTATTTTGAAATAATGCCTGTTAGTCATGTAATTTTTAATTTGAAATAGTCTCAATGATAAGGCAAAAAGTAAACAGATATTCATCATCCTCTATGATTACAGTGTCCATATCTGTCTGGTTCCAAGCACATTTTCTCAGTTTACTTTCCTTATTTAATATTGATAATCTTGTTTATTTTGTTGCTCTTCACACGGAAGGGGAATTTTAGCTTAATCTTTTCCTAGTCTTTAGTAAAGTATGATTGCCCTTAAAAATCTTGTTGTACCTGTAGCTGTAGAAGTTAAAAATGTGGATTTTAGAACAAGCAAGTAGGCATGGCCGGGTTCAGTGAACCGCCGGTTCGAGATGTTTAAAATTTTGAACCGGAACCGACCTTTGAATCTCTGGTTTTGGTTTCGGCACGGTTCCGGCGAACCGACGGTTCGAATTACTGTTCCGATTCGGTTTCGGCATTACGCAAATCCTTTGAATTCTGCTGAGTTTTGGGTTTCGCGCACGCGGTGTCCGTGGCGAACCGACCGGTTCGAATTATCCTGTTCCGACTTCGGTTTCCGGCATTCACGCAAATTCTTTAAAAAATATAAAAGATTTGATTTCGATTCAGTAAATAAATATATAATTTTAAAATGTTCTTAAATTTTATTAACTAAAAGAAATAAAAGCTAAAAAATTTTTAATTACTTAATAATTTCTTAAAGAGAAAAACTCTCTATTAACCTAACTTAGGAACTATTCATTGATTATTCTAACATTTACAAATTTTTGCTAATTCACTAAGTATAGAAAACTACAAATGAATATCAAAATTAGATGAAATAAGTTGGAATAATTATTATTTTCAAACATACTAAGAAATTATTAAAGGAAATCAAATGAAGTAAATTTGATGAATGAGAAAAAATTGAGATTAGAAGAAAGAATTTGGAATTAGATGTAAGAAAAATAAAAAATTAAATACAATCAATACTTAAAGAAAGCAATAACAGGCAAGATAATTCCAATATTAAGAAAAATAAAGCAATAGAAAAAATAATGAAATATGAAAATTTGCGAGAATTTTGATTGAAAATAAGAGAAGAGTTATGATATAATTAGTTGTGAAATAAAAAATCATCAACTCATCATATTTGGACATGTTTCTCATTTATTAGTTTCCCAAATTGTCCCTTATAATAAAAAAATAACAACTATATTTTTGGATAATTTAGTAGATAAATAAATAAATGATTAAAAAATGAATAAAATTTATTTACCAAAAAATAAATAAAAAAACACCTATTTTATCAAAAACTATTCGTTACACTCTTTTTTTTGTTATACACTGAACAGTTATTTTTTTTTAAATCAACTATTTCATGTCCATTTTTGTATAAGAACATTAGCTAAAGCACAATGTGTATTTTTCACACTACTATTTAATTTAGGTGTACCATCTTGTACTTCTCTTCACCATAAAATTAAATCAAACTATAAAAATCAAAATAAAGTAATATAAATTTTTTTGTATAAAATTTAAGCTACATTTTTTTAGGCCATCCCGGTTCGAAACCGACCGTAACCGCCCGCCGTTCTGGTTCATATTTTAAGATTTCACCGGTTCGAACCGGACCGGAACCGCCGGTTCTGGTTCATATTTTAAGATTCACATGAACTTTAACCGGCCCTTGAACCGCCGGTTTCGGTTCAAAATTATGAACCGCCGGTTCCGATCCGGTTCCAATTCGTCTACAGTACGGTTCGGTTTCGGTTCGGTTCCGATTAAAACCGAACCGGTGGCCATCCCTACAAGCAAGGGCAGATCATCTGCATGCAGACAAGTCACCTCACCAACAGGGAATTTCAATCCATACCTACCAGCTCGCCCTAAAATCAATATGTACACAGTTGAAGGGAATGGATAAATGTACTAAAAGGTAAATCCATAGAACTTAATCTAAGCCTAAGCACAAATAGGAGGGGTCGTTATACATTAAAATGCTAAACCCAGCAGTTCAAGTAAACAAATAAAAACCAATAATTAACTGAAAAACAATAGAATAACTGGCATGCAGACAATGCAATGTACCTAAAATACATCATGGCACATTAACATATGACAACAACATAGCTATACAAATTTTTAATAAAATATAAAATTAGCTAAAATAAGGCCAAACAATTTACCAAACTGATATCCCTCATTTTAATCACATAGCTGCTATTTGTTTGACCTCTGGAACTGTTAGAGGCCGCATCTCAACACCATCAAACTTTTTAATTGTTGAAAATATGATTCTAGAAATGTTCCTTTTTTTAATTGTTGAAAAGCATATGTATCTCTAGAAATGTTCCAATGTTTCCAAGACCCATCTCTTCAACTTGAGGCGATCACCTAGCCACAGAATGTCAAAAATTTCACTACCTAGAAATCATTAGGAACATGGTTGCGCTGAAATCCCTATAGAGGCCGCATCTCAACACCATCAAACTTTTTAATTGTTGAAAATATGATTCTAGAAATGTTCAATTTAAGACCCATCTCAATGGCATCACTAGCCACAAGAATGTCAAATTCACTACTAGAATCATTGGACATGGTTGCCTGAAATCCTATAGAACATATTAACTCAGCAACTCATAATATAATACATATATCATAGAAGGAATGGCACAAATAATGACCGCCTAGCTGCATATAAATTTCAAAATCCACACCAAAAAAAAAAAAAAGATTGAATAAACATTTCACATAAGGCACTTCAGTGAGAGGAGGCCAATTAAATAATGCACATAACAATTGAAAATAGCAAATTTGAAATATATGAATAGAAGTATCGTGTGAACTTGCAAGAAAAAGGGGATACAAGAAAAATTAGTAGGTCAATCAAAAGAGATGCTGCGTAGCTAACAGTCAAATAATCAGTAACATGAACAGCATATAAGAAAATGTAAATTCATTCTCCACCCTAGAACTATGATATTAATATTTATTTTCATTCTTGAGTTCAAGACTCAGCATTAGATAATAGAAAGGCAAGATGATAGCATTTTATTCAACAGTGCATCATCAAACATAAACACTGAAAAAATGTAAAGGAAATTGATGAAGAAATATGTAGAAGAAAATGAAAAGTGTACATAGTGGCATCTAAAGAGGATTTGGTGGGAGGGAATTGAAATGAAAATATTGAAGAAACTCTCTAACCTTCAATTTGTATATTTCACGACGTGAAAATGTTACAATGCAATCGTTTGTTTGTATATTAGAAAAGGATTCGAGAGGTATCTCTAATGGACTAACGGTGAAAGTCTCTAATAGCATTTATTCAACCTGGAAGTAATGCAAAAACAGTCAGAAATTTCAATAACAAGGTGTTTTGTATAATAGCTCCAATAATACATATTTACAGCCTGAATAGTCAATTATACATTTAATACAAATTTCCTTGCACCAATATACATGATTCCAAACTACAACATCAATTGTCACCATTAATTTTGTACCACCTAAAACAAAAGTCCCCTAACATTTGTTGTGCTTTCCCCTACTGGCATGGTTCTCTATAGCCAAAAGCAAAATAAATGCACTGAAAATTCATAGCAGCACCATAACTCTTGTTCACGTTACGAAAATATTAAATATCTTTCAATTTCTTAGGAAAGGATAAAACACGAGGGTGAAACCTAGAGGAAATTAGCATTTTTCCACAAAGACATTTCACGAAGAAAACCAACTACAAGGGCAACATGTTGTTGCATTCCTTCACAATTTATTTGCATTGTTCCCTCTCATTAAAGGCAAGACCACTAAACACGCTTGTATATGTGACTTTGAAAAAGTTAACAAAAAAAAAAAAAACAAAAGGATAAACCTAATATGCATTAAAAAAATTATGTTACCTTAACCTCATCGCCAATAACCTCGAGTATTTCCTCAATAAGAGGAACGGCAGCTAGATCTCCACAAGGGTGAAGTTCATCAGCAGAAATTCCCAAAAGAGCACGTGTAAATGAGAAACCCCTTGTCTTACACCCCAAAATCTGAAGAAAAACTAGAAGTAATGGACATTAGAAATCCACTAATGCTCAAATACAACATATCCAATATTTTAATCTTGAGGTTGACTACAAAAATTGTAATTTGTCAATCAGCTCTAAGATGACTTGTTACATTATATAACAGCCTATCCTGAGATCAGAAAAGACCCCAAGTTTTTTTCATATTGAAAATGATAAAGCTATTTGTTGGAGTACTTAGACAACTCAAGAAATAAAGCTAAAACATGTACTGGAAGTGTACATTAGAAAAGAAAACCTGTGCCCCCTCATGAGTTTAGCATCACACCATCTCCTAACATACGTTTTCTTCAGCTGATACCAACATAAAATCCACATTTTTAACTTCATATAGCTACAGGTACAACAAGATTTTTAAGGGCAATCATACTGTACTAAAGACTAGGAAAAGATTAAGCTAAAATTCCCCTTCCGTGTGAAGAGCAACAAAATAAACAAGATTATCAATATTAAATAAAGAAAGTAAACTGAGAAAATGTGCTTGAGAACCAGACAGATATGAACACTTTTTTCTTTTCTAGTTATTACATTCAAGAATTGCATTGACGATGTTTAAACTGATAATTAAGTTTTTTTTTTTTTTTTTTTTTTTTTTTTTTTTTTTTTTTTTTTTTTTTTTTTTTGCAATATTAAGTTATCCGGTCCCGCTCTCTTGATTGTCTTGTTTATGTTTTTTTTTTTTTTTTTTTTTTTTTTTTTTTTTTTTTTTTTTTTTTTGCAATATAAGTTAATCCGGTCGCTCTCTTGATTGTCTTGTTTATTGTTTTCCATGGTTTTTTTTTTTGGCTTTAGGGTTACTTGTGTAATTTTTTGAATAATTTTGAAGGAAAATGAATGGAAACGATTCTTGATTGTAGAGAAGAATTAACATTGATTGACGATTCTAAATGGTTTATTGTATAAGATCAAATTATTAAGACGGATGTGAATGTTGGTACATTCCCTTTCAAAATATTTCTCTTCTTTTGCTGGTTTTATTTCCATAATGAGATTTCCGCCATGTGTTTTTCGTTGCTTATTCTTGTA